CTTCTGCACACTTCTCTCAGAGTATTGTAACTATTCAGATTTAAGTTTGTTCAGCACATTTGGTAAATAATAAGCTGCTTAGTGACCATCTTTTCTACTTTTGGGTTGATGTTTTTAAGTACGTTAGTCTTCTTAAAACTGTAAAAAGTTAGTCCCTGAAATATCTGTATTTGCCAGTGCAGAAGTGTTACGCAATAGAGACTGTCACTTTTTTTTTCATTTCCCAAATGGATCTGTCAAGGACGTACTATACCAAACTAGGAGTTTCCTTAGAGTACTTTGCCTTTATAGCTGCGCTTACACGTGCCGTGGGAAATGTTGGCATGGGATGTTTCTTTTGTCTCTCACTCCCTTGCATGTACAGCTAAAGTTTCCATTATTTTTATATCTGTGCTGTTTACTTTTCATCTGTTTTAGTGGTTTGGCAATACATTAATCATTGGTCTTTTTTGCATTTGGTCTTGATTATATGAGGACAATCTGATTTTCATTTTGTTGTTTGCTTATGATGACACTGCTCAAATTTGTATCACCATAAGACTTTGGATGCTGCTCCTGTGTATAAATCCAACCTCCAAAGATCAGTGCATCCCTGGGAGCGCTGTTTCACATGACATCTTTTCTTGCTATTTATATCTTTAGTGTGGCTTAGAGCAGCCTGGGTTAATCTGTTCACACAGCCTTCATATGGGTTAGCAGTTACATCCAGTTGGCATCCTCAGTTTTTATAGCAGACTGGACAGTAAACCATTGTAGGCCACTAAGGAACCTCTGATGAGGTAAGAGAGATTTTTAATCTATTTTGGGCATGCCTGAAGTTTCTCAGGCATACCTTTAAGGTTTTCTTTGAGCAACATGTTCAAGGCAGAGAAGGAAGTTGTGACAACTGCATGACTGAAGTTAGATAGAAGAAAACAGGAATATTCATGAAAAGATCTTAAAATAGAGATCGATGAAATAGGAGAGAAGCCGAATTGAAAGGCAACAGGGAAAGGTATTGGGAGAAACAGCCCCAAAAGCAATGGTGTTCTTCCATTCACCGTAAGTATTGTCAAAGCAGTAGTATGTAATATGTATTCTTATCATGGCAGTGTTGCAAAAAACCCTCAACTTTTAAATGGAGCATTAAAGATACTGATTCATTAGATCTTTTTTTAAAGTTCTTTAAGTAGTGACTTAGAAGCATAGGCCACCTGCACCTATTACCCTCATTAAAAAGCTTTAACACGCTCATGAGAAAACCCCAGGATAGACATTGGAACTGCATGCATATTTCAGAAAACAGTTTTGGAATGCATTTAGGCATATCACTTGATTCATGTTTCCATTAAGACTGCCCAGTGGGAAAATGCACGTTTTTTCTTTGCCAATCTTCTGCTCTTTCAATTTTATAATATTCTGTATTCAGTTGAGAGAGCACTTCTTCATGAAGGTTTAAAATTCTATTATGTTTGTGATGTTAAAAAAAAAATTTGAAATTGCCTATGTCAGATTTCATGTTACTGGAAAAGTACTAAATGAACTGAAGATGTAGCAGTTAGTTAATGAAACTGGTAATGCTTATACAGTATTTTATGAATTAGTCAATTAATAGATCCTTGGTAGTCCCAAATCTCAGGTAGCTTGTAATCAGTGGTTTTGTAACTAACTGCATAATTTCCAATTCAAGGTCACTCACAGTTTCCTGTAACATTCACTGCAGTTATCCACTATGGCTGTTCTGTGTATTACCAACTTGAATGTTCTAAGGAAGAAAAACATTTTCTAATTCACTAATACACTTATGTAATTCCTTTGGGGGTATGACACAGATTGCAATCAATGTCTTGAGACACCTAGTAAAAACAAACAATTTTGAAATGATTTCTTGATTAACAAAAACTCAATCATGTGACATTTTCTAGTGTGATGCAGCCAAACAGTGCATCTTCAGCATCATGCAAGTAGAATGAATCAAAAATAAATCCTTTGACAGGCACATAATAACATCTATCATAATAGAGACCAACTCCACGGAACTAGTATGTTAATTTCGTTAAGAGTGATTTCATGTTGTTTTCTTGTGTTGATGAAATGGGGCCCAAATTGGAAAGTAATACACCAACCTGACCAATACTACATGTTCAGTGTTGCACAGTGGGAAGCTCAGACAAAATACAATTGCCATATAAAATGGCAATTTAATATATTTTTACTACATTTTCTTCCTTTACAATTTGGTGTAAGAGTATTAAGTTTCAGAAGTTATACCCTTTTTAGGTTGTATTCTTTAGAGTAAGGGTCTGTTCCCGTCTCCTCCTGCATTTTCTGAATCTGGTGATATTTCCTACATTTTAAAAGCCTTCTGTGCAATCCTTCTCTTTGTGACCTTCCAATTATTATTTTCCATTGTTGAATACACTTCCCTGCTATACCTGTCCTGTCTGTGGGCTGCTTCAATACGTAGGGCTGAAAGCAGAAAGCCACTGTCAGCCTCACAGGTCTTTGTGGGTCATGGGATGCAACACATAGAACAGTACTTGCAACACAGGTCCCAATGCCCAGTGGTGGGCTTCTGTACTGCCCTGCAAATGAAGAATTACTAGTGAAAATTAATTATTGACTAAGACACATTCCCAAAACTGTCATATGAAACTCAACACCCTATATGGTGTGAAACATCCTAAGATTATCACTTATCAGATAAATAGGAGGAAATGTGACTGTTCAATGTTCAGGGCTTGAATGATACAAATAGTGTATATTCTGTTTTTGTATTGAAACCATTCATTGCCTGGATTTGATATATGTTCATCATTCTTATGGTTTTGCTGCTTTGCATTCTATATGCATATTGCTGGTTTCTGTATGATTTTTCATGTGATATACATGCTTTCTTATGGAAACTACTCATCCTCTGCTGTTTTGCATTTCAGGGGAATATTTTGCTTCCTTAATTTGACTGTATTTAGTATCTTTCAGTGTTTACTATTTTGAGATCCATTTTTTCCATATATGTATAGCAGCAAGTATTACATGGTAGTAATTACACGGTAGCATTGCAAGTCTTCTACCTGTAGCCTAGTGATAATCTCGAAATAATAATCAAAATTCTATGTCTTGTAGTTTTTTGCTTTCATTTTTATTGATTACCATTCAAACTCTCTGTTTCACAGTTTCAGCTTGGTAACAGAAGAATTCTTTGCAATTGCGATAATTTTTTTTTTTTCTTATGAATTGCAAATTTTGAATAGAGTGTTTTGTGGTGTGTGTTTGGTGTTCTCATAAGTATGACATTGCTACTAAATTTGGATACCTGTACCCTTAACCTGGCTTATCTGTAAAGAAAGTGGAGAAAGGAACTAAGACTCAGTTTAAAAGGATTTGTTTTGTTTTCTACATAACTCTGAAAAAATGGTTTAAAATCATTGATTAAATCCTGCTATACTGGAGTTATGCAAACTTTTAATGAAATAATCATGTCATATCGATTGTATAACACTGTATGAAGAGTAAAAGTAGGCTTCAAAATTTTTGCTGCACGTATCTACCACTGCTTCGGCCTGGGCAAGTCAGAGGGTTTTTTTAGGCAAGATACCTACGTCCAATTCCTGCCTTCTCAGAGCAGAAACTCTTGGCTCTAGCCAAGAACTGTCTGCACAAGTGTTCAATCTCTCCTGTTAAGGTTCAAAGATGAATCTGTCCTCTAAAGCCTTGTTTTAACTGTCGAAAGCTGTTTTCCTGAGATTTTGAGGTAGGAATTACAATTTGGCCCCGACAGAAAGATTGGTTGGGCATGTTTCTTAAATCAAATATTTAAAGACATTTCCTTTTTGCTTTTCTTTCCAGGATCAGTCCTAAAGGCTCTTTGTTTCTAATTTCACCTAGACAAGATGCATTTCATTTGAAACCTTTCAGGATTGCAGATATTTCCCCTTTGGGCAAAAAATTAAGGGTTTTTGTCTTTTATCAAAGTGGACAAAGCCCTCAGCTTTGCTCTCGATACACAATGAATCTTGCTGGAATATACAATTAAATACTCCCCAGTCATATGAAGCAGCTAGCTTCAGGTTCTTGTCTGCCTACTTCAGACCAGAACCTTGCAGTTACCACTTTGTCATCTTGGATGAACGCTCTTACCATCTGTATTCTGGTGTGGATATTACTCATTTGCCTCTGCTCGAAGCTGTTCTGTGGATTTGTTAAGAGATCCAGAGAATCTTACAATCCTCAACATTTTTATTTCCCCAGCAGCAAAGTTTTATTCCGTCCTGCACCCTGTGCTGCTGTTATAGGGACATGAGGATTCCTTTGCTTCGCAACGAGTCTCAGCTTTTGAGATACCTACTGAAAATACCACGTTCAATTAGTAGTTATTCATCTGCCATCACAGAAAAGATGGCAGAAGGGTATTATTGTCCATAAATGTTTAGGTTCTCAAATTCTGTAGATGAGGAAATGAAACAAAGTCTAGTATTAATGTAAACATTGAAATTTGTGCACTGTGAGCTTCTATTGTAAGAAGAGTTTAGTTAAATAATTAAATTTTCTTTAAATATTGGTGGAATATAAATGGTAGGTGTTTCCTGGTTTGGAGAAAGAAAATTCTGACCTGTGCTTTAACCACCAGAGTAACTCTGCTCCCCAGATATGTGCTTACCTGCTAATTTACATGTGCAGAGATGAGATACTGCTGATACGTTGGTGAATTTAGACATTTGTCAGTGCATCTGGCACACCCATTTTTGGAAAGGTGCCTGTCTTCATTTTGTTTGGTGTAATTATCAAGGAGCAAGTTGTCTTCATTCCGGTTACTACTGGGCTATCTCTTACTGTGGTATATTTTTAGATTTTGTTTTAAAATATTTTCAAGTTCTGTATCTTGTAATTATAGCACTGAACAGCAAGCTGCTGACAAACTTTTTTGAAATATGAAATGTGGTGGGTTTTTTTCCTTCTTTCCCTGACGTTACCACGTTCTGTTCCTCAGAATGTTTTCTCTTTCTGTGATTCCTTTTCAGCTGCTGCACATAAAGTGTGATAATGATGAACATATGTTTCAAAGACCCTCTACTTTTTTCTGGTGTAACAATGAGGATTCACCTCCTTGTTTAGATATCTCTTCCATTACGCTTACTCCTAGGAGTTCTCCTGACTCTAGACTACCATCTGGATTGTTAATACCACCACCTTCAAAAAGTGGTCTTCCAAAGCCAACCAGTGAATACAGCTGCCCAAGACCTCGTGTAATCCTGCTGTGCAAAAGCTTTTTTTGTTTTTTTGGCTTTCCTTTGTTCTCTGTTGTGTATTAACTTGCATTAAAAATGTGCATTTTGTACAGTGGTTAAAGGACAGAGCAGATGTATCTTAGATTCTCTAGGGATACTCTTAAAATACGGAACTTGTGAAGACTTACTCTTATTTCTACATAGCTTTTTCTCTCCCACCCCCAAACCATAAATTCTTATTTTTTTCAACATGTTTAAATTAGTCCATTAATTAATTACCTCTGTGTTATCTGTCAATCTTTTGTTACATTTCTTTATATTAAGAATATATTCAAATTGTTATTCAATTGTTACTCAAAACAAACAATTCTAAAGGTCCAACTTCAAGGGCTTTTTCCCCCCCCCATGAATTAATAGAAAAGCAATCAGCCATTAAATACCTTTTAGCATACTTTATAAAAACTGTGCAAAATGAAGGTTGAAAATTATCCTTAAATATGAAATGGGCATATTGCCTGCTTTTTCATAGCAATATGCTTATACTCTCAACTTTTCTTCCATTTGCAAGTAACATTTGGCTGTATTTGGCAAACATCATGGCTTTCTGCATGTGTTCACTAAATAAAAATGCTTCTTGTGCTCATGTGTATTCAAAATATACATTTCTTAAATTATAGTTTTACTTAAACTAGCTGTATCAGTAGTATCAAAATGGCCAGTAACTTCAACAAAATGGCATATAGACAGGAAATGACAGTGTAAAGTTTGGTTTTGCTTTTTTTGCCTAAAAGACTCATTTAAGACTAAACATAAATACTGTTTATTTATCTAGCTTCTAGGTAGCCATAAACACTTAGCAAAAAAGGAGAATCTGCATTAGCGTTTACTGTCTCCAAGATGTTCTAGGATTATCCATCAATGTTGATGGGAAATGTAGGTTAATACATGGCGTGTACCTGTGCATTAAACCTGATCCCACCTTCCTGATGCAGACAAAACCTATCTACAAGAGAGTTTTGTTTTTATGAAAAATGGAATAGGAGATTCATTGTATGTTTATTTTGGGTCAAGCACATCCATTGCCCTGCTTTGAGTGGGAGCAGATGACATCCAGCGATCTCCCTGACTTAAATTATACTGGTTCTCTGACTATGCACAAAGGCTCCAGGAAGTTACTGCGAGGTCCATGAACACAGTAGTAAGAGCCTATTGTGTCTAATATAATATAATATGTATGCACTGAAATCTTTTTACAGCAGACTATCTTTGAATTTGCTATGCTAACTCATGTTGAGGTCAGCAAGAGTCTGTATGTGTAAAAACCTTAAAAATGAGGTATTTTATGAAGTTAATTCAGCTCTGGTCTTGCCAGGGAATAACATGACTAATTTTTTTTTAAACAGAACAAAAAAAAGCAGCATGTTAAATGTGGATTTATTTTCCTTTTTTTTTTCTTTTGCTTGGCACTTCAGTATACTTAGGTAGAAATATCCCAGGTTTTTGGAGATATTGAACAGTTCTAGATCTCTCCTAATCCAAATGTAAAAATATGAATTCAAAACTCCTAAGAAATAGGAAATGTAGGACTTAAGAGTCTAGTTTTCTCTTTAAGCAATGTATTCAGTGGAAGACCATAGATCAGTGTCCTTTCCTTCTCAGCAGCCACTGCAGCCTCCAGAGAGAAGTAGAGGTAGTTCAGAGCTACCTATAGACTTGGCTTAGAAATATGTGCCGTGTGCTGTGAGAGGGCAGCTTCAGTTGCTGCAGCAGAGGCCCTAAAGAAAGTAGCATTCCAAAATAAGGTTTAAGTCCATGAAGCTCTCATGGACCTGCAGTGCTAAAGACTACCCGCGTGCCAAGTTGTTGTATTCATGTATTCTGAATAAAAGGATCTGTGTGACTAATGTAACTTGTGCTTAAAAATTTTCATGTGAATATTTTGGTCAAATTGAATCTTATTTAAAAGTAGCAGGCTTTCCCTGTGCCTGGCTCTATAGTCTTTCTAATATACAGAATATAGTTTTTTTGTATTGTCTAAGTAATAACATTAACATGCAAACTAGTTTTGCATATATATTTTGTCTTAGGCTTGTCAATCTCAGTTTTAATCTATTTCATCATCTGTCTTTAGTGTTCAGTTTATTATGACTTGATTGTACCTCGTTTGTGTCCTGAACTAATGGACTGATGGCAGGAGGAATTAATTATTAAAAAATAAATATGGCTATAGAACAATAGTAATTGTCAGGTTTGGGGATTCTTTACTTATCCAGTATTTTTTTGAACCCTTCCAAATTCCTGGGCCTTACTAATGAAATCTCTTCTTACATGTTCAAGGATGAGAGTTTTATTTTGGATATTAATATTCAGTGTATGGCATGTCTAGGTTGTTACTTACCAAAAAATACATTTGAAGCTTTGATCACACCAGGTTTTTAAGGTTGTCAAATAAATTATCATGTAAGGAAGAATTAGTAAACGAGAAATATTGGGATTGTATGTTTTAATTTTAGCTACTTGTTCTGTGCGCTCTGGAGCATAGCATATTGTTGTTGCAGTATTACCTTAAATGGGCCTTGTGAATATATCTGTATTCATCTGTCTGCAATAGAGAACTGCTTGTCACCAGCTTTTTCAGGTTTAACTGTGATACATTTCTGGCTGTACCAGATGGACTGAAAATGGAAAAATTACATTGCTGCTTATATATTGGAGAGTTCTAGCATGTCTCAGACTTTGAACTGCAAATGCCATTTGCTTGGTGTCAGGAGCTGTTTTTTGCATGCTGATGGTTATTTTTAACTTTTTTGAAAATGTGGCTCTTATCTGCATGCTGAAGAATTCAGTATTGTGATCTTTCATGTGAAATATTGCCCTAATATTTATTGTCCTTATTGTAGGCAGGCAGTGTGACACCTAAATCACCCTCCACTGACATCTTTGATATGGTTCCCTTTTCTCCCATATCCCCTCAGTCATCAACACCTACTCGCAATGGTACACAGCCTCCTCCAGTACCCAGTAGATCTACAGAGATCAGTAAGTTTTGTAACAACTGACCTAATTTTTGCTTACATTTTTTTTTAATAAAGCATCTTTAACGATTTGCCTACATTTTGCATGAAAAGCCAAATACAGTTTTTGTAAATCACATTTGATAATGCCATTTCATTTTTATACCATCTTCCCAAAGTCATTGATGTTGCTGCCAAGTTACATTATGAACAGACTGACTTACTTGCTGAAGCTATTATATAAACAGTTTGAAGGAGTTTGGTTGGGGATTTTAACTTGGCTTTTCTTTTACAGTATCTCTTTTGTACTTACTTCAAGAAATATTTTTACTTCCTATTAGTTCTTTCCTTGTCAAGCCACAGTTGTAGCATCTAAAGCCTACATTTCTGGGGAAGACAGCAGGTGGAGTAAGTATGGTGATGATGATGCAGAAGGGAGAGCTGAAGAAATCCCTGAACATGTAGACCGTCTTCGAATTCTATTTTTAATACTACTTTCCATATCATCTACAGCTTTGTTTTTCAGTTATAGTTGATGAACCACTCCAGATCTGTGGACCACTCCTAAAAGATCTTCAAAAGATTATTAACAATAGCAATTTTATTTTCCAAAGGCTTGAAAGCAGCTAGGGTAAGGTTCTTGGCTTCACTGGAAATCTTTTAGGAGTCCACAAAGTATTTTTAAAACCTTTGGAAAACCCTTGGGGGGAGAGGAGAGCGGAGCATACACAAGCAATCTTAGGGGTTGTAGAAATACCAGTCTGTGCGTAGTATCTTCTATTTCTGATGTCTATTTTAGTATGGATAAGGAACATTAATGTTACTGCCTGCCACCTTATAAAACCACATTTGAAGAGTTTCTGCCTGTTTTGGGGAATGCTGCTAGTATGTAGAATTTTCAGGTATGAATGAGAGCTGTGTGCAATTATAAAAATGCATTGTAAAACTTAAGTCAGTGAATGTCTTCCCCAATACCATATCCTATGCACCTTTTGTTTCCATTGCTCAGAATGACTGTCACCCTCTAAAGAGAAAATAGATGTAGAGGCTATTGATTCAATTAAAAAATCTGTTCTTTTTTAAGAGAAGATTTTAAATTAATTTAGGTGACATTCTGTGGGTTTCTCAAAAGGTATATTAACAGAATTTAAAAATTTTTTATTAAGAATAGTTAATATAAACTATTCTTAAATAGCTTAAAAGAATATTAGAATATTCTAATAGAATATTAGAATAGAACTGTTCTATTAAGAGCATTTTTATGGCTTTGTAAAGAAAAACAAAACTGTCACCCTCTAAAGAGAAAATAGATGTAGAGGCTATTGATTCAATTAAAAAATCTGTTCTTTTTTAAGAGAAGATTTTAAATTAATTTAGGTGACATTCTGTGGGTTTCTCAAAAGGTATATTAACAGAATTTAAAAATATTCTATTAAGAATAGTTAATATAAACTATTCTTAAATAGCTTAAAAGAATATTAGAATATTCTAATAGAATATTAGAATAGAACTGTTCTATTAAGAGCATTTTTATGGCTTTGTAAAGAACAACAAAAAAATAATTCAGACACCCACTCCAGGAAATCCTTTTGTGTTTTCATATTTGTTCCTCTGAAACTACAGACAATGCAATAAAATCATTCTCAGTGTGCATATCCAGCTTCAAAAATAATAACTTGAATTGAATTACATGAGATTTTTTTTTTTAGCTATTGTCCTACCTCAGTTCCGTTGAAATTGTGGCTGGAAATCTTGTGGGAGTCAGCACTCAATGCTGAGTGGTCTTGAGAATTCCAGCTATGTAGGTTTTGTAATTGTTTAATCAGTGGGTTTTGTAATATAGAAAATTCTATAAATAAGTTGCTTATTCAGTGATATGTACTGTTTAAAATAGTTGTTTCTTCTGCACTTCATTCATTTGCATTAAATTAAGATGATGTAGTTCAGAGACATGGCAGTCAGTGTGTGTTAATTCTCTGTGCTCCTCAGTGTGCCGTGCTTCAGAGAGAGATCACAGAAGTACATCATAGTCTTTATACTTTTGATCCCTGCTTTTTCAGTCTACGTCATAGTACTTTATATGTTGAAAGTTGTTGCATTCATCAGCTATTAACACCCTTTGGCATATTTCAAAAATGCAATTTGAAACAGAGGAGGAATATTTTATAATCAAACAAGGATTTATTGTCTTAGATGAGAAAGTTCAGCTCCCATAAGAATCTCATTCAAGCTGTGTATACATTACTATAATAATGTACAATAATACATTGTTTTATATGGTGTTATTGCTGCCAGTACAAGCAAGCTGGCATTTCTTTCTCCAGTACAAGTCAGATAGGTGGTAACCAAGAGGAGCCAAAGTTTGGAGTCTCCCATTTTCTGAGGTCTTCTGAACATCTTTTCATGTTCTTATCTCTACTTTGTCACTGCACTTGAGTGGTTTTTTCCATCACTTTTGATGAAATTATAGGGTGGTTTTCTTGGATTTTATCATTTTTATAACTTTCACCTTTATCACATTCAGTACTAAACAAGGTGAAAGATAAGGATGCACCATCTATTCGCTAGTGTCAACCTCAGTTGTTCCGTTTGTCTAAGTGAGGTTCATCTGCCTGTTACCTAGGGATGGCACTTGGCCTGCTCAAGCAAAATGAGCTTTTCAAAGCCAAAGTTCATCTTACTCATCAACTGACCAGTTTGACAAATCACCCAAGAATAACACTGCACAGGAGAGACAGGTCCTATTTGCAGGAAACCGGTAACAATACCAAGGACTTCGGATTCCTCCAAGACCAAAAGCTTCATGGTTGATAATTGGCACCAGGATGACAGTTCAGCTTTTCATGAAGAGAATTGCCTAGAGTTAGAATTTTGCTTGCTGGCTGTCCTTTGGGTAGTTTCCCCAGCAAAAACTGGGGGGTTATAAATTATATCTTTTGCTTTGACTAGCTAACAGTACATAGTTCAAGAAACTCGGCATTCTAATACTGGAAGAGTACAATACTGACCTTTTCTCGGAAAGGCAGTTATCTCCAAAGCATTTAAGCTTTAAAAAAGGGAGAAGTTTCTGGAAATTTTGAGTTCTTATTCAACATTATACCAATATGGCTTCTCAGAAAATGTCTGCTTACTACTGGGTATATCAGTGATAGCGAATAGATTGTTTTTACTTATTTTAAAGGAGAAAATGGCATGATTTTTTGGACAGGAAGTTGCAGATTGGACAAATCTGTGGTGTCTCTTCAGGTAATAATTGCAAAAAAGTGATTCTTTCCAAAACAAAAGCCCTTTCCAGAAATGTATTTCTACTCAAAATGTTGCTGAGAAATACTTCTTTTAACACTAAGTTTGCAGTAACCAGCTTGCAGGCTAAACATAAACATTGCAGCCCAGTATAGTAATTGCTTAATTGAACAATTGACCAATGCATAGTGCAACCAAAAATGCAGTGTTAAAGACCATGCTGCTGCTTCCTCATGGAGTAAAGGATTGCAAATGTTCTTGAAAGTTATCTTAAAGGACAGAATTAATGTGTTAATTTTAATTAATTAAAGGAGGAATTTATTTGTGTTTCTTGTTGGCACAGCATTATTGTCATATCTTGGAAAAGAACTGGAGAGCAACATTCTCTATCGAATTGTTCAACATTTTATTTCACTCAAATGTATCTTGAACAATCCAAGATCACAACTGGCAGATGTAGAAATCTGCTCCAAGATGCTATCTTTCCAGAGATATTTAAGAGTCTGTTGTCAGAATAATGGTGGAACCATTTTTTATGCTGTAATAATTCCAAAAGAAAAAATATGGAGTAGCCTGCAGCTAAGGGAAGGGCTTCCTGGACTTCACTACCCAGCTTATTCCAAATATTTTCTTGGGTGCTTGCCTTCAGTGTGATTAATTTTTATTTATCACCACATCTGCTCCAGGACATAACTGGGGAAAGCATGTATCAGCATAACTCTGTGCCTGGATGATAGCTAAGGTAAAGAAGATTGGGATGCAAAATGCAGCAGAAAAAACAAATATTTGTAGTTTTGTTTGGTAATTGCTAGCTTTGAGTTTGTTACAGAGTGTGGGTTGCTGCTTTCCAGTATTACGTGTTTCTTGTCCTGAATGTCAGATAGGTCACAGAAACAAGAATTTATTACCTGTTCATGTCTTCTGTGGTTTGAGTTGCAGATGTAAAACATCAACATTTCATGGTTTTGAATTTGTTGGTCAGTTTCCCAAGCTGTGAATTTATTTCCATCCAGAAACTAATGGAAAAGGGAAAGGAAATTATATGTACTGTTTGAAAGGATCATTTTCAAAGGCTTACTGGTTGCTATGTATTGGAGAAAGAAATGCCTGTCTATGCTACGATTATTCTGGGGAGTGTGCCAGGCAAGATATTCTTGTTATAGTTAATCTTCATGCAAATACTCTAGCCTGAAATGAAAAATTACTGATTTATCCCATCTCTGCTAAAAAGGAGCCCCCCTGTGAGCAGTGGCTTGAACACTAACGGATAAGTTTATGGAGATCCCATGCAATAGTGCAGCTCTGCAGTGACTAAATTTTAGTATTTGTCCAGTTTCCACATGTTCTTCAGCTTCTGTTCAAAAGAGAAATACTGATGATGCTATTGAAAATATTTCATGGAACTTTATCCTTCCCTGACTCTTAGCAGTACAGTCTCTCAAATAACACACAGACTTTAAGTGCAGAAAAGCAGTTGTACTATGGACTTTTTCAGCCAGTTTGCTGAAATGGGTAGCAAGTTATAATAGAGGTAGTTCCCAAAATAATAATTTTTCATAGAAACTCAGCTAGGAAATACTTCTCTGTTTTGAATTTTATTCTGTACAGGGGTTGTTGGGCTCTGTCACTTAGAATAAGTTACACTCAGTTTAACTTTGAAGGCTGCCTTGAATAACAATATAAATGAAGTAATCCTTCACCTGAAGGCAGGTGACATTAAAGGAGCTAAAGCTTCTGCCATTCCTCCTGCAAATGAGCTCAGAAGTGCTGTCATTAACAAAAGCCCAATAATAAAGCATGAATGAGAGATCCATAATAGTGTACAAAATACTTGCTTTCAAAAATAGTGATAAGTCATATTTCAGTACTGAGAAATGCAAGAGTTGTGTTCTGTACTGTTTTGTCCTAAATACATTCCTCGAATGTTTGCTAAGGCTTGGTGTTGAAACTGGCTCCTTTTAGCTGTCTGACCACACAGAAAACTGTCGGCTCCTTTTAAGGGTAAAAAGAACCTGGGGCAGGGGGGAAGAGAGAAAGAAAATGGACCTACATAATGAACAAATAGACTTAGGAGGAGCATAAAGCATAATCGCTTTCTGCCCATAGAGGTCAGATTGAAAGTCAAAGCTGCTACACATCTGAAGGTTACTTGGTAGGAGTGTCGGAGCATGTAAGGACACTGGTTATACTGGAGCAGACCCATTTTGGCTGTGAAAGAGGCAAGGGACGAGATAGATCCTAATTTTTACATTAGATTATCCTAGTTAAAGTCTCTTTTGCATGCAGGTGGTCTGCCTCTGCCAGGAAAGGCTAGAATTTTTTTTTTTGGCTCGAGTGGGCTTTTGGAATAAGGCGCTCTGATCTGGGCCATCTCCTGATCCCATGTGACAGTTTGTAGCTTTTTAGCCACAGTTTTTGAAATATGTAATTAATTAAGTTCCTGCTTGTTTCTGTACTTTATTATGGGAATGAATGCTGGTAGCTGCTAATTATTTAAAATGCTTATTGTGCAGCTCGATAACACCTAAACGATTAGGTCAAAACCCACGGAGACTGACACGCACAATAAAATGATGAAGAGCCTAGACAAGTACAGGTCTAAAACTCTGTCTCAAAGGAGGCCAAAATAAAGACACTTATTTAGCTATATGCACGATATTCAGCGTTGATAAGATGACTGGTAACACTGCAACATGGATTTTGTGTCAAGTAGTCAGTTGTCAGCTTCCATATCTTGGATGTTAAGGGTAAAATTTTGTGCTTAACCAGAAAACTATCTAGTCATTTCGAAGATACTAATGGCCCCTTTTACTCTCATGCTCTTAAGCTAACATTGCTTTAAGGTAGGTAGTATGCTTACCAGGTTTCTTGCTGGACAACCGTGAAAGTTAGGACATAGGATATGGTTTTAATTTTCTCTCCACCAGTGACAAGATTTTATTAACTTGGTTCTGTAAATTTTGCAATCAGTGTGGTTGGGTTGGATTAGCAAAATTATTTTCTTACTGGTTTAGTTCAATCCAGTGTGCAATAGAAAAAGTCTTTATAGATGGCACCATTACATGTAGAGAGAAAAAAAATCTCATTACTGAGAAGAAAAAAAAAACCCAAACAAAAAAAAGCCAACCCAAAATATTTGGGCTGTAAGATGTGAAGAACTAGTGTTACACTGTTCTAGTAAGAAAAAAAATGTATTGGAGGTGTTTCTTCTTGTCCAGACAGATAAGAAACAAACAAAAAAAAACCCTGACTGCTAGAAAGCATACTACAGTTAAGAAAAAGTGAGAAACTGTATGGTATTGACAGAGAGAAATTTGCAATCATTCTATTTATGGATCCAGATTTAGTGGAATTTTAGGGTAAGTGACCTTTCATGGTCCTATGCTTTTTTCATTCGTTCCTTCTTGATTTGATCTTACCCAAGATTTTAAAACCCTGACAATTAGTTTTACTTACTATCAGCTGTGCATTGAGGAACTCTATTAAATGTAGGCCTTACCTTCCATGAGTAAGGGTAGTTGTTTAAAGATGTCCTTAACCAGATGGTAAGAATTGGCAGACAGGGGACATGAAGGCTAGGTTGATTGCAAGAATGTTTCTGACATAATGTTAAGATGAAATTTGTCAACTTACGTCCAGTTGTTCCCTCCTCATTTGTGAAACACCTATACACACCGAGAGCGCACTTCAGTAGGAGATGCCCTGTTCAAATTGGAACTTCTTGTCATCGGATCCCTAAAATTCCTCTTGAAGGCACAAGCATTAACGAAAGCTAAGTAGAGGCTTAAACAGAAGTTGATGGTGTTCTTGGAAAAAAAAATTGAGTTTTAAACTTTGGAAAACTAATCAAGACATGGCTTTCAAATTTGGACGTTAAAAGTTGTGGTTAATCAGTTGCATATCTGGAGGTGCTATTATTCAGCTTGTAAGGAGGTGTAAGCCAAGTTTTTCAAAGAGCTATTGTTGTAGCCCATACATTTTCTCTCAGTGACTCACTTTTCTGTTGTTCCAGAGAGAGACCTTTTTGGAGCAGAACCTTTTGACCCTTTTAGCTGCGGAGCAGGAGATTTCCCTCCAGACATTCAGTCCAAACTAGATGAGATGCAGGTAACTATTGGGTTATCAATTATGCAGTTTTCTATGGCTGCATGAATGTTCTTGAAATACATATCTACAGTATTCTGAAAATGTATTCCAGACTGCACACACAAATACATGGGGGAAAAAAACCCCACCTATTTCTGACTATTCCTTCTGTAAGTATATCTCACGGTCTTTTGAGTTGGAGTTCGAATTTGTCTGCCTGAAGATCCTTACAAATGTTAGCCCATGGTAATAATACAGACACCTGCACTGATTTAGGGTTTATCAGCAATGTAATCAAAACGGATACTGCTGCTCTTGCCTGGGAAGGGACTGAGCAAGCTAAAAAAGAGAGCTGAGGCGAGAGCCCTACAGGTACACTGATGCTGTTACTCTTCAGTTCCAGCAATCACCACCACTCCGCTATACCCTGATCTTCCCTTCAGTGCCATTAGTCTGGTTTTCCATAGCATTGGCATAGGCAAAGTGTGTGCTTAAGGGGCCATGGCAATTTTCTGCTGCCTTTAAAAATATCTGTATTTGACTATGGCACTCTGGGACAATTAAACTACTGAGCATTGATTCAAGAATTCTGAACTGATGTGTTTTTATCAGAAAATGTTTGTTGATTCTGAAACACTCAACAGTATCTGTTCAGTTATTGACCCAATTTTGAAGCAATTCCAGGAGAAAGCCTTCAAGTTTTGGAATAAATCACTCTCTTCATTCAGACTTTCCAAACTGCTAGTTCCTTGCCAGCTTGCTTATCTGTATTTTTTCCGCAGCCTGCCAGCAAAATGGAAGGCTGAAAATACTGGGAACTTGAATTTCTAGGATCCTGGCTCCTCAGCACAAAGCATTCCCAGGGCTTCCAGCCCTCTTATATCTCGAGAGCCCACAAAGTCCAAGAGAGCTAGCTCTCAGGCTCCTTCAGTTCCTCTCTTCTGCCTGGAGAGCAGCAGAAACATTTCAAAATGGCTGAAATAAGATTTAAATACTGTTTAATTTACCTAAGTAAAATTTTTGAATTCCTATTCATTGTGAAATTTCATTTTCCATGTCAGTTTAGGATGGTGCCACTGGCAAACTTCACTCTCTGTGAAGTAAGAAAATGAGATTCCTGCTCACCTGTACTCTGGCCCATATAATTTCAGATAGCACCTAAAAGCCAAAACTGGGGCTTCTTTGCAATTCCGGTAAAAATGCTTGTGTTTTGTGAATGCTATAATGTTATTATCAAGCCCTTTAGCACAACAAAACCAAATCTTTTAGCACCTCACATTGATACCTATCAATGTTTCCATTGCGTATAGCCCATTTTAGGAAAAAGTATACTGTAGTATCTGTGGATACTAGGAAGAATCTTGTGACTGTAGCTAAATGTCACACTCTAAGAGTTCTTAATACAGGTAATATTTTGGCAAAATTTTATATTGTTAGCATATAAGGCTGCAAAGTGTTAACTCACAAAACATCAGTGAATGGAACAGTAGAAACCTTTATCAAAGATTTTTGAAGTCATAAAATGAAAAACTCATATCATTGTTTGTACTCTCTTGACCTAAAAAAGCAGACAACCAACCAATAACAAAACCCCCAAACGTCAGGTCCTTACTATGTCCTATTGCGAAGAATATTGCATTGGTCAGGTATTCCCCCCTGCACATACATATTCTATTTTTTCCAACTTTTTAATCTGCTTTTTAAACTAGTCTTACAATTAGTCTAGCATACCAGTCTTGGCGTACCCTGACACTTTCACTGAAAATTAATTTGTGGGTCTTTATGTAGGCACAAAACTTGTTCTCAATTGGATTATACATGAATAAGTGTAAAGCTGACAGGTTATGAAAAAAAAAATATTCTTAGGCCAAAGTAAAAGCTATATGCAGTTATTTTACTAGGTGGTTGGTGCAAAATACAGATTGAAACTTGTTTTTCTTAATATCTCTTTTATCTTTTTGTGCTTTCCTGGGTGCCTAGCGTCAGCGATGGTTGGTATATCATATTTTAATAATGGTATTTAAAGCATTTGCAATTAAAGTGTGCATGTGTTCATGTCTGGTGTTTCTATGCATATGTGTGTACATATTTTAACATTTATATTTTATATATACAACTCAAGTCAGGGGAATTTTAATTTTTAGGGGCCTACAATTTTTAAGGTAGGGACAGCTGATGTTAGTTTTCTTTAGTCTGTCTTATCATCTGCTAATAATAAGCCTTCATTTTCATTGCTGTTTGTTTTCCATGTGTACTAGTGAAATCTCCAATTTTCATCATCGGATTGTCATTAGTGAAATGGTTTAAGCAAAACCTTTGATACATAGATTTTTGTGTTAGTACAATCACATTTGTGAATGTGTTTTTAATTGGAAATAATTATTTAAAAACTTGCAATGAGCAAAAGATAGCGGTGCTAGAAGTCAGCAGCTGTTAGATACACAGCCTATAAGAAGGAAGGTGGAACGGACTTACAAAAGGTAAAACCACAGAACGTGTAATGTCCTCTGGGAAATCTAACATTAAGAAACAGGAAAGAAGAATGTAGGCTTCTTTCCTTCTCTGGAATACAAAGTGAAGGAATCTCTTATCATCACATTATGATAGCACAGCCTGAGTTTCAGTAAATACGTATTCCATTAAATATATAAAGGTAAGTTGTTTACGAACACATCTAACAGTTCACAATATAAACTTATTCTGAAGGGGCATTAAATGCAGTTTATCTTACACTCAGAGTGGCAAGCAAGCTGCCTTGGCGCCAGGCAATGACAGCCTCGTTGGAGCAGCTCAGTCCAGGCTCTATCCTATTTCTTGTGTAGAGCTATGTCAGATGCCTCAGCAAACATTCCCCAGTCTGCAGAAAAGCTGTCTCAGCCTATGCGTGCATTGGAAGGTGATGTGTAAGCAAAGTGGGAGAGGAAAGCACAGCACAGCAGAAGAGGCGTTGGATAATAAACTCTTAAGTAGTGGGTGCTTTTCCTTTGCATCTGATATTCTGAACTTAATGAGATCAGATAAAGTTCCCTGACTTCTGGGGGAATGTTTTTATGTTTAAACTTTAGTGAGGACCCAAATTTCACACTTAAGCTCTTTCTATTCCATTTCTCAGTCCAATCTCTGTTGATCTTTTTGGAGAGCTCAAAACTCAAATGTGCTGAGATGTGACTTTTACAGCTCGGCCTCTCTGATGACTATCCAACCTCGCCGGGGCGAGCAGCTCTGGTGCCGGCACTATCAGCAGCAGAGCGCTCTAGCACAGTGCACAGGGGGGTTTCCTGAACTGGGGGAACCTCAGGGGGAGCTGAGACACCTGCTGGGAGCCTGCAGCTTGCGCGGCAGTGGCTGACGAGACCTGGGCAGGGCCAGGAGCAACGGCAGGCAAGCCCCCCACATGTATAAAAGAAACCCTTGGGGAGCACTGGTGACCAGGAGCGCTGTGAGCAGGGTGGGCAGACAGAGCGTGGTGCCTCAGCAAGGGTGTGGCGCGGCAGTTCGCATGGAGGGGCATGCAGGAAGGGCGCTTAAGCTCTACACCCGCCACAACAGACGCAGCTTCCCAGGCAGAGCTCCGGTGGGAACACGCTGCCACCCAGGTGTCAGGCTGCAGGATGTGCCCTACTCTTATACCAGTATTGGACAGCAGCAGTGAGCACACCTGTGGGAGGTGTGCCCAGGTAGAGGAACTCCTCTGCTTAGTGACAGAGCTCCGGGAGGAGGCGAGTAGGTTGAGGAGTATCAGAGAGAGAGAGAGAGAGACAGACTACTGGAATCGCACCCTACCTTCCCCGGGACAGGCCCAACAGGCAGACAGGATGCATAATACGGAGGATTCCCTATCCTCTCTCCACCAGTGACTTAAGGGGTAGGGGGCAATGACAACAAGTTCCTGCCTGGTGCAGCAGGCATGTCTCCTCTGGGACTACCCCACCTTCCCACGTGCCTTTGCATAATAAGTATGAGGCTCTGCAAGTGGAACCAAACAATAATGAGGACGATGGTTCATCTAGCTTGGAGGTGTCACCAAGGTTAAGTCAGCCTACACCCTGCATAAGAACTACTTCCGTAAAGAATAAAAGATGGGTCATTGTCGTAGCAGACTCCCTTCTGAAGGGAACAGAAGGCCCAATATGCAGACCGGACCACTTCTTAGGGAAGTCTGCTGCCTCCCTTGCGCCCGGGTTAAAGGTGTGAAGAGAAAACTTCCTACCCTGGTACGGCCCTCAGATTATTATCCACTATTGATTTTTCAGGTAGGCAGCAATGAAGTTGCAACAAGAAGTCCGAGGGCAATCAAGAGAGACT